GGTAGAAAGAAAAAGCATGCTTGACATAAACACTTTTGTCATAACTTTGACAGGGGTGGGTCCTCCATCTTGGGTTGCCCAACAAACATTAAATTAGCAAGGAACAGGAACTGTGGTGGAAAAGTAGTTTATTTGTTACATTTTTCTAGTGTTTTCTGTTGGATTGGATTGTCTTCTGTTATTTCAGTCATTGGATTTTGAATCATGTAAGTCTTTTTTTCAACAAAGAAGAAAGAAGGAAGGATCAAGATTAAAATGTTGACATTCTGAGTGTATGTGCTGAGTGCCTGGAATGCCTTGTTATGTGTGAGATAGACTGGATAGGGTGTTAACAACCTAAAACTGATGTGTGTGATGGAAAACTCAGATAGACACATTAATATTCTGCAGAGTCTTGCAACTGGGGTGAATGGTATGGAAAGACAAGCAAATATGTGTCGTCTTCTCTCTTTTGCAGATCCCAGGAACATGCAAGCATACTATGTGGAGTATCCAAACAGATTCTTCTTGCTTTGTAAATATGCAACTGCTCTTGAATACTACTGACTTCATAATGGCAATAACTACTAGTGATGTGTTTACTAGTAAAGAGAAAAGTGAAACAGAACTAAGGGGCTCTACAGATGGCCCCTAAAGGACGGCTCTGTGCTGCCCCTGGGAGCGCTGGATCGGGGCCATGGCAACCGCATGCCGTGGCCCTGATCCAGCACTATGCCACTCCTTTTTGGATTGGCAAAAGCCATCCTTGCCAATGTGGCAGCAGCTTTTCTGAACTTCTTTAGTGCAGCATGTCTAAATGCTGCACCAAGGGAGCGCTCTGATGCCATCTGTTTGGGTGAGCAACATGAGGACAATGTGGGGGCAGAGTCGGGGTGGCTGGCATGCAGTTGCCATGCCCCAACTCCATCCCTAGGCCAGCCCTTTTGACTGGTCTGTACTGGCCCTAAGGGCCTTTACAGACTGCCAGAAATAATGCAGCTTGAGGCCACTTTAAATGTCTTGGCTCAGTGTTAAGGAATCATGGGAACTGTAGTTTATTGTGGCACCAGAGCTCTCTGATAGAGAAGGCTCAATGTCCCAGAAAAAAAAATACAATTCCCATGATTCCCTAGCACTGAGCCAGGACTGTTAAAGTGGCCTCAAGCTGCATTATTTCTGGCAGTCTGTAAAGACCCTAAGTGGACTTTCTTGAGCACCTCATCATAATAGGCAGAGCAAATCTGTCAAAAACAAAATCAAAATAAAATATTGGCCTGATTTCTATTTCATAGTCCCAGATAGAGTAGACATTAAATCAGTAGGATTTCTCTCTGTGTGGATTGTAGGAGCAGGTAGCCTAGGAAAGTTTCAATAGATTGTCAAAAGAAATCCAACAAGAATCCAAATTGTGTACAATGAGGGACTGATTGCTTGTGCAGAACCTACAGCCTCTGGTGTAGTGGTAGTGAAGCTCACAGGGTTGAAGAGCCATGACTCTTTCATGGGTGGGGACAGTGACTCAGTGGCAGAATCACTTGCACCCTCTGAGCTTAGCTCCAATCCTGGTTAACAACCTCAAACTGATTGTATGATGGAAAAATTAGACTGACACGTTAATATTCTGCAGAGTCTTGCAACTGGAGAGAATGTTATGGAAAGACAGAGACAGATTGATATGGATCAACGCAACTGCCTGTACTTTTTGACTGTCAAGGGATGGCTATGAGCAGTGGCATCACTAGAGTTGGCATCACTCAGTGTGGTAACTCATAGTGTCACCCCTCCATTGATCTCCTCCCATACCACACCATACAAAATCCTTAGTAATGTTTTTGTAGTAATGTTACTTATCAATAATAATAATAATAATAATAATAATAATAATAATAATAATAATAATAAATTTTATTTATAACCCGCCCCTCTGCACGGCAAATGGAGCGGCATACAACAGATTAAAAAGACAACAATTAAAACATTCCTTCAACTCACACCCTAACCCTCCCACCCTTTAAAACTAAATTAAACTACTATGGAATTAAAATCAAGTTAACACACATAAAATACAATAAAATCAATTTCGACAGATTTGCAGTTCAGAAATTACAATTCTATGCACAATGCACATGTTGTTGCTGTTTGGCAACATAAATGTTGCTTTTTGTGCAGTAAATATTTATTCTGTTCAGGAAATATGCTCTCTGTTGCAAAATAACAACATTTCTGTGCAGAAAATGCCATTTTCTATGCAAAAGTGTGTGCATTTTCTATGCAAAAGTATTTCATTGTGTGTGCAGAACTGCTAAGATTTTCGTTTGCCTAGGATTCTGTTCATCAGAATTTCCTGATTTGCCTAAGATTCAAATATTTCCAAATATTGTTCTCATCTCTAGATTGGATTCATTACTGCAAGATAGGGTTGCCAGAGTGAAAACTGGAGGTGGCTTCTGTACCTTTAATGCCTGTGTAGAAGAGGGAACTTCAGCAGGTTTTTCTTGCTACCTGCTTGTGTGACAACCAAAATATGCTGAAATTTCCTCTTCTACACAACCATTAAAGGTACAGAAGCAGTCTCGCAACCCTATCCAGTGCCATGGAAGTCAGCAGCCCCCAATCTATGTCTTCCAGGACATAGTTCAGAAAGGGTACACAAACCGATCCAAGCTGCAAAAAAATTGGTTCCAAGCATTTTTGTAAATCTAGACACAGAATAAAGTGGATCCAGAGGGGTGGAGATGGCTGTCTAGCATTTCCTTTCATCAGAACAGTTGTTGTCAGTAGGCACTCTGCTTGTGTTATTACCTTCAATATATTGATCCTGCAGGGTGGCCATTTCCCTACAGTACACTTTGTTCATCAAGAAAGTACAGTTCTTTCTAATCTATTTTAAACAATACTTACCTGAACTTAATTTCTTGTATGAATCCCGTAAGCCCATAGCAGTTTACAGACGTTTTATGGATTTCTGTTGCAGCATCAAAGGCCACTTAATGTGACTTAATGTTTTCTCAGAGCCTGAAAGCTTTAATCGAGTGTCACAGTCACAGTTCATCGAGACCAGGGAAAAAGTTTTACCAACAAAGGTTATTTCTTTCCGTGGGGTGTCCTTTCCTCTGAGGCAAAAGCTGGGTTAGCTCTGCCATACGTTGTTTCAAACTCCAAAGAGGACAGCCCAAGAGATTTTGCTGCCTGAAGTGGAATGGCAAATAACTTCAATCCCCAAACATGTGGTGGGAGGTGGTGTCTTCCATGGCAGTGGAGTGGCATATCCACTCTGGTTTTTAGTTTGACTATAAAGGGGGCTATCAAAAAGGGTGAGCCCTTTCTCCAAAATATATTCAAACAAAATCCTGGAGTGGATTTGTTGTCCCACTGACATGGAACCCATCATGGTAGAACCCCATAGTGTGCTATCCTAGTCTGTCTAGGCCCTTCACTCCATGCATCTGATCAAGTCTTCAAAATATTATACTACCACGTTCTTTCTCTCAGTTAGGCTGCATCTGCACTGCAGAAATAGTGTAATTGGAAACCACATTTTTTAAAACAAGAAGTGAACCAGAAGTAATTTCTACTCTGTAAAAAGGGGGGTTCATCTGGACCTAAAATAGCTGTTGTTGTTGCTGCTTCTCTTGTTGTTGTGTGCCTTCAAGTTATTTATGACTTATGGCAACCCAACGACCACCCTATCATGGGGTTTTCCCTGCAAGATTTGTTCAGAAGAGGTTTAACATTGCCCTTCCCTGAGGCTGAGAACATGTGACTTGCCCAAGGTCACCCAATGAGTTTCATGACCGAGCAGGAATTGAATCCTAGCGTCATAGTCCAACACTCAAACCACTAAGCCATACTGGCTGAGGGTGACCTTAAAATGTGCCAAAAATGCCCTCGTGTCCCCTGAAGTTGATTCGGGGCAAAAAAATGTTTTATTTGTTTGGAGGGCAGCCCTCCAAGGCTGCATCTACAGTGCAGAATTAATGCAGTCTAACACTGCTTTAACTGTCATGGCTCAATGATATGGAATTCTGAGATTTGCAGTTTTTGTGAGATATTTAACCTTCTCTGTCAGAGACCTCTGGTGCCACAACCTACTACAAATCCCAGGATTCTATAGGATGGAACCATGACAGTTAAAGCGGTGTCAAACTGCATTAATTCTGCAGCATGGCTGCAGCCCAAGTTCTTGGGGGGGGGGGTGTTAATGTGCCTTCCATAGTTATCCACCACTGTTTTATAAAGATGCACTTTGGAAAGTTACCGTTTGGGACTTCAACTCTCAGAAACACCTAAATAGGGTGGACCTTGGCTATGTTATCTTAAGGATGCAACCACAATGTGTTCAATAAAATGCATTCTATGCTCAAGGGGGAAGTACAGTTCGAAAAAGGAACTTTTCTGAGCTCTAAGAAGAATGTAAATAATGCACAGACTTTCAGCTTCCATACAAAACAGTAAGATCAACTCTGGGCAGGCATGGGTAGAATGAACCAGCTCTGAGTACAAGTAGAAGCTCTTTCTCCATGATAAGAGCCCCATTGCCAAATTGTGGGGATGATTCAAGCAAGACTCGGCAATGCACATTAATTAAAATGCTCCTTCTGACACTACCGCGTCATAGGCCTTCTGTGTTCTTTCCCACAAAGATGGTTGAACGGGCATCCAGCTTTGGCAGCATTGCAAAACTAACTAAACTGGCTGCATTGGAAGGGAAGAGGGGAAAGGAAATGTACTCTGAAAAAGTGAGCCAATTGGATATTTTCAGAATATGGACAAGGAAGCCAACCAGACTCCATCACTGAAAAGACTGGTACAGTCACTTCCAAGTTTCAGTGTGATACAGCAAGAGGAATCTTAGTTAGTTAGTTAGTTAGTTAGTTAGTTAGTTAGTTAAAATATATGGACCACATACATTTGACCACATCAAAGTAGTTGGCATCAGACATTGTAAAACACAGAAGAGCAGAGCAAGTGGCATACAACGAAATAAGTTAAATTAGACCAAAATAAGATAAAATATGGGAGCCAGTGTGGTATAGTGGTTTGAACATTGGACTACAACCCTGGATATCAGGGTCTGATTCCCTGCTTGGGCATAAAAACCCCACTGGGTGACCTTGGGTAAGTCACAGCCTCTCAGCCTCAGATGGCAAACCCCCTCTGAAGAAGCTTGACAAGAAAATTCTATGCTAAGTTTGCCTTCAGTTGCCAAAAATCAAAAATGACTTGGACAACAGCAAATATAACAAAATACACTAAGATTAATAACATAAGAATAAGGGTAAAATGAAGAATTGTAAGATGATACCAAAACTTACAGAAATAAATTGTTATCTTACAATAAGCTGAAAGATGATAAAATACATAAGTAATATATGTTTATGTGAGTTAATCAGCTTCACATGCAACCACAATGTGTTCAATAAAATGCATTCTCAGATGAACAGAGCTACCTATGAACTCCATTTTTCTAATGACTACATATGTATTCGTGCCATGATGGAAGTAAGATAACCGTTAATTGCAGTCTCAATATGTAGTTCTGTCAAGTAGTGTCTGTAGGTACTGAGACTTTACTCACATATAGTTGACAGTTAAATAGGACATGCACAATATCTTTCATTTCAAATGCTCCACAAATACATGTTATCTTAAACAATGTATGGCACTTGTGGAATTGTCCATATTTGACCATAGAATCTAACTGAACGTGAGTCAAAAGTGTGATGCAGCAGCTTAAAAAGCCAATGCAATTGTAGGCTGCATCA